TTTATCTGACGCAAAGATAAAGGAAGGTGTATTTGTTGGCCCACAGATCAAAAAACTGCACACTTAGAAATACCTAATTTTACACGTGACGGAATCCATCTTTGACATAAAGGATGAGACGTAAACAAACATGTCATGTAAAATTAAGTGCTCCGAGACTGAAAAGTTCGATACTCGACGAAAAGTACGTTTGATTGAGCTGAGTTTTGCGTCTATTACGACTCAATTTTATGTCAAAAATGACGCTCGTATATGTCAGTCTCAGAGCACCTAAATTTACATGAATTTTTTTTAAGTGTGTGCTCAATGATTCCGCATTCAATACAGTTTTGACACCAGATGAGGAAGAAGCGTGGAAATCGTTCCAGCGTGTTGTCACAACCTTTTTAGGAAATTTCAGAAGCCCAGATTATGAGGAAGCCGCCGATGAATTGCTCAAAAATTATGAGAAAATAGGTATAAATCAAAAATATTGTGTTTGTTACATATAATTAATTTCAAATCCTTTTATTTCACTGAACACAGGTGTGAATATGTCTTTGAAGATACATTTCCTACATTCTCACATGGATTTTTTCCCGGAAAATCTTGGTGACGAGAGTGATGAGCACGGCGAACGTTTTCACCAACAAATGAAGATGATGGAACGTCGTTACCAAGGATTTTGGGATGAAGCAATGATGGGTGACTATTGTTGGTTTCTGATTCGAGAAACAAGTTCAAAACATCGAAGACAAAGTCATTCGATTCTCAATCATTTTTAATAAAACCTAAATAAATTTCTTTTGTATCAACTCGGTTTTAAATCCTGATATGCCTTAATCAAATTGATATGTAGAGAAAAGAATATCCCATGAAAACTTTACATGCGATTTGGATGCTTACAACGACACCTAGAAAATGAACTCTAAAGCTGTTGTATTTCAGCAACATTTTTAAGTGTTTTACAAAAATGCTCATAACTTCGACAATTTCCAACCGATTTCATCCATTAAAGGCTCATTTTCTCCGGTTTAGAATGGACTTTAAGAATAAATTATGGAATGATTTTAAGAATCTTTTTATCCCATTAAAAATGTTGATTGAAACAAGATTTTTATGGAAAATTCGCAGGAAAAATAAAAAAAAATGCTGTAAATTTTTAAATGACTTCAAAATTAAATTTTTAATTAAGACACAGCTTCATTTTCATAAAAAAAGATTTAAAATTGGTGCACTAGTTCCAAAGATATTGACATTTTAGTAATCGTACTTTTGTCCAAAATTCAAAAAATCAAAATTTTTGTATATCTCAAAAATGGCTCTACTTTATTTTTTTCTGACCACGACATTGAATTCAGCGTAGGATTTTGCATCGGAAATGATCATCACCTTACCGAGTTCAAAAATGCTGTAAACTAGTGTTATTTTGACGGTTCATTCAACTGCATTTTCCATCAGCGCCTGGAGCTTCAGTCTTATTTTCGATACTTTCTTCAATGAATACACTAGGAGGGCACACATTTTGTTTCACAGCTCCAAACACATCGTAAAGTGGAAAGCTTAAAGGTGATTCTCTATGTATTACTTCATATTGAAATCTACTTAATCCACCATCGATAAGTACACTAAAAGCTTCTTCTACATAACATCATTCCCCGTTAATCAGTTAATTGAGCCAGTATTAGTTTAAGGCTAGTTTGATATTTTATAAATGTATACCCAATAGACTGATGCAAAATTTGAAATTTTCGCTCCACAGTGCTCAAACGGTTCCCCCCACAAATGGGCCCTGATTAGCCTCCCAAAATTTGAACTCATTCAGTGAGAAACTGACTTGGCACAAAGCATGTGAAGTTTATATGGGAATTACTATGGAGAAGCCATACTTACTATGGGGAATTACTATGGAGAAACCATAATAACGTTTGCATTAAAAGAATGGACTTTTTTTCGGATGGTGATAAAAAAAAGCTAAGACAGATAATTTCTTTTGGTAAATTTCTCATGTAAGTTAATTATTTAAGCTTACTTGCAAAACAATTCTACGCCCTTGCGAGCGGCCTTCCGGCAGTTAATCGGAACATTCGCCATGGCGGACGAAAACATGCGTGTAGGCATGTTTTTGAGTTCTTTCTTCGTTTTATTTATCAATTCCTCCTCAGTTTTCGCGACAAAATTGTTGGAGTAGATCTTACGCTTCAGGCTGGCCCAGAAATTTTCGATGGGACGGAGCTGGGGGACGTTGGGCGGGTTCGCCGACTTGGATACCACATCGATATTCAGCCGCTCCATCTCCTCCAACGATCGCTTCGAGTAGTGGACCGACGCCAGATCCGGCCAGAACACCGCGTCTTCGCCGTTATGGTATTTCTTGATGTACGACGCAACTTCCGGCAGGTATTTCGTGCTATAAATTTCCCCGTTCATGGCCAGTCCGGAGCGAAAGAAGATCGGCTTTGACATCCCCTTCTTGCTGATTGTCAGCCACAGCAGCACGTTTTTGGGGAACTTGGTGTGTGATATGAACTTCACCTCGGAGCTCACTTCCTTCGTGGGGGAAGTAAAATACGAAGTGCCCTGCCAGTCATTGCCATCCAGGGTGAGATAGGTCTCGTCGTCCATCACGACCGCCACGTCGCGATTCGCCGGGAAAAACGAGTGGACCATCTTATTCAGCCGTTGCCGCTGCGTCATTGCCTGCAGCTCCAAAACCAGTGGACGTGACTTCCCCTTCCTGACATGTATATTCATGTTCACTAGGTACTTTTTCACTGTTTGGCCGGTTGCACCGACCTCCCGGCCAAGCGCACGCAGCGATGTAGCCACTTTTCCCTCGGTCTTCCTCTTCAACATCATTTGGAGCTTCTTGTCGCTCAGGATCGTCGGCCGTCCGGAACCGGGCTTTCTTTCGATGCTCTGATTGTTGTCTAATAGTGCCAAGATGTTGTAGATGCCGGAACGGGCGTATCCGGCGTCCACAAAGTGTCGCACGATGTCCGTTTTCGACGCGGCGGGGTGCCGTTATTTGAACGCGCACACTTCTGAACGGAGTTGCTTCACTGTTTTTGCCATCACGGTTAGAGCTGTCAAATTTTGTCTGCTGACTCATGGGTTACTATGATTGATGCTGCATGCACGGTAAGAAAAAAGTACTCAACGGCCAGTTCACTTTTACCTACTTTTGACTAGTTTGTCTCATTTTCTCCTTCTAATGTTGTCAAAAAAGAAGGAGCAAAATCACCCAACAGGGGTAGTAAAGTGTGGGAACCCAACGTTGGGTATAACCATATTTACCTACTGTTGGGTACAACTAACTTACTTTTGGTTAAAAAGCTAGTGGAAAATTCCATACGAACTGCACACAAGTTAATGAAAATTACTTTGACCCGATTTACCTTCTTTTGGGTTCCTGCACTATAGTGCCGAGATGAGTGAAAAGAAGTTAATTTTGGGTACTTTTTTCTAACCGTGTGGGTAGTTTCGTCAGTGAGGGTGAAGGTAAACCCATGAAAAATCGACCATTTTTGTCCATTTTTTAAATGCACACGTTATCGACCAAAAATTACGAGAAAAGGATTGGTGAAAGTAGATTTTTGGATTTTTGTATTATTAGTGTATTGTAAGCATAAAAACCCGATATTATCGGTATTAAATATAACACAAAGTTAAGTTGTTTAATTCATAGCCATATCAGGTTGAAACAAATTCGATATGATATTGTTTAGCTCCTTCTGTACCATTTCGATTAATTTTGCCACAAAGTTATTCATTGGAGTAGAGTATTTGTCGGAGACTTGAGCAAAAATATGCAGTTGGGAAAATTAGAGGGATTGAAACCTTGGATACTACAGGTGTCGAAAGATAGGATATGATTATATGATATGGAACTATCACTCACTGTAGCAAGACAACTGTCGGTAGACTGTGGACTATACTTGATGAAGTTTAATAACCTCTAATTGTACTCAACCTGCCACCTGTATGAAGGGCTAAAAACGGTTTGGGTGAATCCGTGGGCAAAATCGAGCACGTGCATCCACGGGATAAATGATTGATCGATTGATTTCTTTATTATAGAGACTTTCAGCCGTTGGCTGGTTCATCTCTGAGAGCACGGGGTAAATGAGAATCTCCTTCCAACAACAGGATCATACAACCGGTAAAATAACAGGCCATCCAACAGGAGGATGTCCCAATGAGTAAAGTTCCACAGTAAAAGTATGGACGTCTGTCAAAAGTTGTTCCAATCGAACCGTCAAACCGCCAACCGTCGTACATACTTTAACTACAGGGCTTTACCAATGAGTGGGGAGAAGGGCCCGCCCTCTTTTCACGAAATGTTAAAGACAGGGAGTTGGTATTTCCACTCTCCCAATAAATTATGCTTCAATCGTTCATGTTACATGAAGTCAGGTTCACAATTACCATAATATTCGTGGCGGCCATATCTAAAAAAATGGAAAACTCTGTAATTTTTAACTCTCTATTTTGACATTATTTTTTTGTAATAGAAATGTGTTGATGGGTCGCTAGGTAGGGTCCAGGTGTGGGAGCTGCCTCCCTGGCGTCGGTAGCATTGGTTCTCAGTACGGAAAACAAGATCGACGGAAAACAAATCAAGGAAAAAACATCTTCAAGTTGCGACGCTTGCTCATCCAGCGTGATTCGCCAAGCTATCCGGGAATCAATCGCATATCAGCAGAGAGGCGCAAAGGTGGCCCCATGCTACCTATACAAATGGTACATACTTTATGCTATAATACCTGGCACACCACATCTTTTCCAGCCGACTGGATGCAGACTGTCTTATCAACAAAATCTCAAATAAAAATAATAATGGCATAATCGAGTTGGGACAACACTGTTAGAAAACATTGGTCGTTTCAATTTTTGAACATTAATCAAACTCAAATATATGTTCTGTATTGTTTTGAACCGATATAAAATTACAACTTTTCCATGCTTTACTAACATTGGAAACTGTCGGCCAAGCCTTTGAATAAGGAAGTTGGCGAGCTTTTTGTAGCACATTATTGAAGTTGAATCCTCATTGTCTCATCTAGGCCAATATCCATGAATCCAAGATGTTGAAACCCCGCTTTCGAAGGTTGAAATCACAGAGTAAAGACGTTCTTGGCAGGCTCTCGATGCAGAAGCAGAGAGGGTCCTCCGGCTCTACCACATCCAGCCTGACAAGCGAGGGGAACATCTTCAACAATTTACGAAGTTGAAAAGTTGTCAACTGCAAAACCAACAATAGGAAGTATTACTTTTGGGTAACAATTTGATAGGTGTTCACTATTTGTCAATTCATACCTGATAAATATCCAGAGATAACTTTTCTATACCCGGCACGGTGATTGTCCGATTCCAAGCTGATAGCCCGTAGTAAGCCAACCTTAGCTCTTTGAGATTCGGAAGAAGATTGAATTGGTTGAATACGTGCGAGGGAAAGTAGCTAGACTGAAAACAAAATAAATTCCTATAAACCATGCCACTCGAACAAGCACCTAGTCGCCTAACTCACGTTGTCAACCAATACCAGCCTTGACAGTAGAGGCAATTTGACTTGCATAATCGATTTCAACACAGTCAAATGATAGGATTCGTTGCAGCTGTCGTCATACTGTGTGAATTGTAATTCTCGCAAACCGAGAGCAAATTGACCCAAATGATGGAAGAAATCAAAAGGATTTTCGAACTCCACTCCATCAAGCGTAAGGTGTCTTAATGCAGCTAGTTGCGATTTTTCCACGTCAGGCTTCACTTCAAAATGGGCAACTCGAATCGTAAGACTATTAAGTTGATCAAATTGTTGCAAAATTTGTATCATTGCCCATCCCTCTTCAATCTCATACACCAGCAGTGACTTCAGCATGGGACACGTCTGGGCGATCATTTGAATAACGTCGATTGGTACTTGCAGTTCTAGTCCCAGAACGGTCAGTGATCTGCATTGCGAGAAGAATAGTATCGCATCGTTTAGCTGGAAATCCCTAGGCTCCATCAGATCACTACACAATCGGTGCAAATGGAGCTTTTCCAATGAATACGGCTCCATCGTCCATAGATCCTTGAAGTTTCCCTTGGTTTCGGTTTTAATGCACATGCTTTGAATTTGGGCGCCAAGAATTTGAAGTGCACCCCATAGATTCTTCCCGCTGGATGTAATATTGACGGTTTTCACATTAGGTGCAAATTTAACGAAGTCAAACTGAACGTTATCCATCAGACAATTAGGAATGGTCAGCTTTTCTAGGTTATTGAAGGTTTGGATTTCGAGCGTTGTATCTACCTCTTGTTCATCGTACTGGCAGATATAATCTTCCACAACAAGCTCCTTTAGCATGGGAATCGGTCCTAATATTTGCAACAGTAATTTTATATTGAAAGGAACATCCATTGTATCCCATACGAAACGAATTCGTTCAATCGTTAATCTAAACTTGAGCAATACACTTTGAACGTTCTTAAGCTGGCTAAGACCAAAGTGGCTGCAGTCGAAGCGAAAACAGACATTACGGTACTTTCGTTTACTGATTTCCAGCGGAGAGAGATCGTCGACATTTGAACTTTCCATAGTCAGCTCGGTTGATACCAAACAAGGCCTCGAGAAAGCCAACTGGGCCCAGGTGCGACATACCATCGACGCATTTTTGCGATCTTTCAATGGAAGATGGAAGAAGATCACTTCCAGCACCTGTAAAACAAGAATCAGTTTTTAACATATTGGAATTTACTAATCTGATTATAATTTCCACTAACTTCTGCCGGAAAATTGTTTATATTCATCGTATTTGACACCTAGCGAACGATTGTCCTCAAATTAGTGTTTCTTGGTGTGCGGTTCACTTTTGGCGCTTGCGCTTTAGAGCACGCCTAGCGAGTTGATTTGAAGCTGCGCATCACAGTTGCACCACCATTGGACGCAACATTTGGGAAGCAGGAGGATGGTGGAAGTCGAAACGAAGCGTTTTTCGTAGGCCTGACAATTTACGTTTACGTTTAATTTGCGTTTACGTCAATTGCCGTGTGACAACAATTGTTCAGGAGATGTTTTTATTTCAAAATTGATTCAAACTACGCGACAGTAACTGTTCTAAATTTTGAAACTGCAACACGATCAGCGCAACGCGCAGTTAAATGGTGTTTGGTATTCACCTCTACATGTATGTGCGTGTTCAAATTGTGTTTGGTTCGGTGATTCGTAATCCAGTTACAGGTAACAAGTTCAAACCACGAGAAGAGGTCCCGGACGATTCTGCTGTCGAAACATGTAAAGAAGGTATGATTATTTATGGAGATCGGTGAACACCTCACAGTCTTTGAAAACATTGTGAGCAACCTGGTATCGTGGGTGAATTTCTGAGAGACGCGATTTAAATTGTTGGGCAGTTTAAGATCTTCAGAATAATAGTAAATCTACCTGAAGACATGAGAACATCTTGATCACCTCAAAAAATCACCTCAAAACCATTTTCGCTACGTATGCTGTGAAAGCAAAAACTGATCTAGTGCTAACTTTGAAACGGACGAAAGTCATTTGTCAAAGAAGTTAAGGGTGTGAATCTTAATTCACATCGCATATTGTAGCTGAATCTTTAATTGGAGCATGTTTTTAGAGATTGTATTTTTCTCAAGTACGTACGAGGAATAAATATGACTTTAAATAACCATTATTCGGATGTTTAGCCAGATCCAGATACTACATACCCTGCATCATTAAACAAATCCCCTAGGTCCGAACATACCAATATGTGAGCACAATCCAAGAATGTTACATGTCCCAATATGTTCTCCGACTGCGAAATAGTATTTCTCAGACGGACAGTCTTCTTTTGCTCATATCATTAGCAGACAACCTGGCTATTGTTTTAGCTTCCGAGTCCCATATGGGATTCCGGTGGACGTAGGATTCACTCCATAAATTTTAATTATAGACCAGCCTGCCTCATGCAAGAAATAATAAAGTAACTCGACCCATTTGTGATCCTTAAAACAGTTATAAATTACCAGTATTTTTCTCACCTAAATCTTTCCCAGCCAAAACAAAACAGGTTGAGTAATTGAATCGAACCCACCCTCAACGCTCTGGTTTAACACGGGAAGAAAGGTGCCAATAAAGGGAGTTTCGAGGGAAGGTGGCATAATCGGGGCGGCGTTCGGTCGGCGTGCTTCCAAGTTGTTAGCAAATCCGTCTTTCCCGCATTATTTCTCATGCGATTTGCTATTTCCCTTTCCTACAACATCAAGTTGCGGCGGCGGTGGCGGCGTTATGGTTGATCGGCTCAGACAGAGAAAACGGGGGTGGGATCGAATCGTTTAAGGCCTATAATTTTACCGCTAAGCGCCACTTTTGAAGCTATCGCTTACCTGTGGATACATTCTTGCGGCATTGTTTGTGCCCTTCTCCGGTGTCATAAAACCAGTCAGTGCAAATTGGTGGCCGGGTGAGAAAGAATTCAGATCAATTCGCTGCGGTTGCAGTTTCGTATTTCAAGGAACGGAGGTGATTTAGAATCATTTAGTTGTAAATTGTGCTTATGGACAATTTGCTGGGAAAGACATGTCTCAGTCGTCCAGAATCGGTCAGCATTTGGATATTACCGTTATGCCACGGGCAATTCGTTACGGTACTGTTCCTGAAAAACGTTTATTGACGCATGCAAGTAGCGAAATTAAAATACTGATAATAATCGCACAGCCAGTAGGTATTGATTTTGATCATCGACCTTTCATTGAATTCCCATGTTCTAATCATCTTATTGGAGCAAACATTGATCTAGCGATTGAGCAAAAAACATTAATGTTCCCGTTCTAATCAGCTTTCGCCTCATATTGGCTTCTGCAACTCCTCCACACATGAACTCAGGTTCATCCAACTCACATTAGCTGTATCAGTAATTATACAAAGTTCAATCATCCTTCCGATTTGCGTACGAACAACCCACGTGCATTTCCTTCCGTTTTGCTTTGGGTTCTATTCTATACACTTGACTGCTTCGTCGTCTCCTCTTGCCGGGCAGGGGTTTGCTTTTCACTCTTAATCACTTCCTGCACTAATCGGCAGCCAAATTTCAGTTCTTTTTTTTTGGTTTGTGAGCGCGAGCGAAAAGAACACATCAAAGGCATTTGCACTACCTATAGTGAAAACTAACATTGGCCGCAATTCAAATAAGAAAATTATTGCAATTATGGGCACAGAGAAGAAGCAAATCTTATGAAACAGGTATCGAGTCTAATGGTTTGTGGCTATGGAAACCCATTAAGGTCAAATTCTGAGGATTGTTGACATAACTCCTGAAAGCTGTGGAGATGAGTTCAGAAAACTTTAGAGATCGTGTACATCATTCCCACCATATATGCGATGGGTGGGACCGTCCAACAACCGCTATTTCTCGGTTATCCAAAGTTGTTCTGCATAGTATTCCCAGCCAACCAAATTCAAGGTTTGGTTAAAATTGAGCATTTTTTGAATTTTTGGCAAGTAAATGAACTGTTTTTTCCATTCATTTACCCATACAAAATTATAATTCTCCAATTTCAAATTCACTCAAATTTTGCACAGTTGTCGGGGACCTCAATACCATATACAGGGTGATTAAGAACAACTGTCACCGATTTCACAAATATGCAATTCTCAATGGGTAAAATGGGTATACCGTTCCGATTCAAATTTCGGACGATTCAAATTTCGGACACTTTCATTTTTAATTAAATATTACATCCAGTTAGAAACAAAGTAATAATGTTAGATGATCGTGGAGGGCACTAGTCAAAAAAATTTAAAATTTACAAGACATGTGGATCATATTCGACCGAGATAATCAACTTTTAAAAGCGTCCGAAATTCGAGTTTAAGTGTCCGAAATTTGAATCGGCACGGTATGTTCAAGTAGTTTGTTTTAAAGTGTGTACAAATATCAGCTATTATTGATAGTGGGCCATGGACGCAAAAATCGACCATGTCATAAATCTGTATAAATTCTTGTGTTATCCTTTTAGAAACTGAAATCTCTTCGAAAGAATGACACATTTATTTTTCGCTTCATTATCGAGGTAAAAAAGAACCATGCGTGGAAAATCCGTTCATTATCAGAGCTTAGACGTATCGCCAGTGCTCCAAAAGTGCTGGGACTAAAACGTGCTTACCAGCTGTGGTTCATTTTCGTAACAAATGGTAATTAAAGGTAAAGATTTGAATTAAAGTAAGCTATGTTGAAGGTTATATATGTAGTACATCTTTTAGAATATACTGATATCAAAAAATTATACAAGCTTTCAACCGTTATGACCTTTTTCAAAAGTGAGAGTTATTACCAATCACCCTGTAAAATTGACCCATCCTATGTATATCTTCTATCTTCTATATATATAAAAATGAATTTCTGTCTGTCTGTCTGTCTGTCTGACCCTTATAGACTCGGAAACTACTGAACCGATTAGCGTGAAAATTTGTATACAGGGGTTTTTGGGGCCGTGGAAGGTTCTTATGATGGTTCGAGACCCCTCCCCCTTCTGTAAGGGGGGCTCTCATACAAATGAAACAGAAATTTCTGCATAACTCGAGAACTAATTAAGCAAATGGAACCAAATTAGGCATGTGGGGGCGAGTGTGGGGGTATAAGGAGATAATCATAGGGGGTAGCCCCTTGGATAATAGGGGGGGGGGGGCTACGTACAATATAGCATGCTTTTTTTAAATCGGCGCTTATACTCAAGCTAATATTGAATCCCGAGCAAGACCGGGCACACTCAGCTAGTGTTATATAAAAACTAATGATAACTAGTCATGCTACACCACTGTCAGTTTATCTTAAGGAGGAAGCACTACGGGACACATTTCCGTCATACGCCTCAAAAACAATGAAGATCATTAGCAACATCTATCAATTATGCATCAAATTCTTTGCTCACGAGTGAACTTCAATCTGATGTAAAATGAAGTCTACAGCGCCCATTACACATGTCAATATATTGACAATAAATTGACATACTGACAATATTATTGAAAAGGTGATATTGATGATGAATATTGATGACAAGTATTGACGAAAAGCTGATTTTCATTTCACTTTGTCAATACTCAGAATTAAAAAAAAAAACAGTCAATTCTATCAATATCATCAATATACGAATATTGACAACATCAATGGCAATACGTTTGAAGCCTTTTAACCTCAATGTATTAAAGTCAATATTACTTGTCTTAATTTCCCCACACAAGAAACATGGATCAGCGGGTCAAAAGAGAAACGTCGTTACTGGACCTATGCACTGAAAAAAAGTTTTCATATAGTTTCCATTGGGAACGCACATGATATTTTTCCAATAACAAAATTAATGATTTTTATCTGAAATTCAAATAACGTTCATACGATCACATGAATTGTATATGAAAAATCACATAAACTTCATTGGACACATAAAGTTCATGTGATTTTGTGATGCGATTCCCAATTATGAGATCACATGAAAGTTAAGTGAAATTCTAATGGATATTTTCCATTGGAAATGTTATTTATTTTTTGAGTGTGGAAAATACTGACTACACACTGAATTCGGATAACCTGAGTCGGTAAAATTTTACCCAGTTTTTGAACTACTAAAAAGTCGGTAAAATTTCAAATTACCATCACTCGTAAGAAAACAATAAAATCGACACATTATCATTCAACGGTTTTAAATAGGTCCGTACAATTTCGTAATAAATTTCAAAATTGTTGAATTGGTTGGTACTAGAAATACTCAGAGGAAGAGATGGGCGGAGAGATGGGCGGAGAGAATGTTTTGAGC